AATAAAAAAAGAAAAAGAGACAATATCATAAAAGTGAATTAATCATTGGAAGGAAGTTTAGAAAGTGCAAGTTGAATCAAATGACTATATTCTTTCTTTTCATATAATTTACTCTTTAAATTAAATAGATAAATAACATGTCAACTATATATATATATATATATATATATATATATATATATATATATATATATTATATATATACATGTAGCTTGATGCTACAATTGCGAATTCCATTTTATCGGAAAGTTTTTAGCTTTGAAACAATATTTTAATGATTATTTACCAGTTTTGTGTAGATTAAATTATTTTTTTGAATACTGATTTATGTGCATAAATTGATTACTTTTTTTTAGTTTAATTCAAAGAAAAACCATTTCGCCTTCTTCATTTATTTGTTTTGTTTGTATTAATAGATTCACTGCAGCATCAATTAATGATTTCTATTAGTTGCAAAGAATGATAACATTTTAGTTATATTTTAAATCATTAAAAGAAATCTTTGATATTTTTTTTATCTTCAGATAAATAAACACGTTCTTACAAGTTAATAAATAGGTTTTATTGGGGTTGCTGAATCTAAACATATTCAAACAATTAAAGGGAGTCCAATTTGTAGATCGATTTTGATTTTGCTCACGGAAAATAAAACATGTGATTTCGAATTTAGGATCTACATGATGAGTAATATCAACTTCATAAATTGAAAAGTGATACAGTTCTTAGTAAATTTTTAAGATTTATACAAACTATAGAAGAAATGCTTTTATATCATAGGCTAATATATATATATATATATATATATATATATATATATATATATATATATATATATATATATATATGAGTTACCTGAAAAATGTCAAGAAACGATCGATTAGGTATTAGAGTTAACATTGCTTTCTTTCATTCATCTAATCTCATATGTTAGTTAATCTTAGTAGTTGTGAATATGAAACATGTCAAAGAGTCTGTTCTTTTTGCTTAATGAAACTGTCGATATTCTTTGACTTTCACAATTCACTATTTTAAAACACAAATTTAAGATTCTGTGATCTATCTTATGATGCGTTTTAACCTTTGGTTTATCATTAAAACATTTCTAACCTTTCAACTAACATATATCAATTTTTTTTACTAATGAAATACTAAATTGATGTTATTTCTTAAAAGGATAAAATACTCGATTGCTGAGTAGAACATTTCTATAATATTCTATCATTTTCACTTATGTTTCTTAATGTGATTAGAATTTGACTAAGCCGAAATATTTAGCGTATGCCTATCAAGAATAAGAACGATTGACAAAAAATAACAAAAACTTGATTCACTCCCTTTTTCTATAGCTTAAAGTGGAAGCGAGAAAGTTTCTGTTATGTTTGTTCAGTTGTCAGTGTTTTACTTGCTTCGCCCTATTACTTACAGTTAAAATAAGGGACCACCATGGTTCCCACTTGGCGAAGTAAGAACACTAAGACTGATTCAGGTAAAGATTTATTCATTCCAAAACATGACAACAACCCTAGTCAAAAATCCACTTGTTTACACGACGACTTGTATATCCATTTGATCATTAATTAGAAGAATATCATATACATATAATTATAACAAAATTACATGGTGCATTCAATTCAAAGAATATCATGTCTTAAATAGAAATCATGCTGAAACAAACCAAATTGTTATACTAAGTAAAATAGCTCACTGGAAAATAAAACAAAATATTACATTGCATAATCATCATACCGAATTAAAAAGGAAGTAATGTTAAACAAAAATTACAGAGTCGACATGTAATTTATCATTTAATCCCATCATATCCGATTCATTCCTGAATGATCATAACAGATGAAAGTAAATTCTATTACTTCAACATGACAAGTGGAAACTTGCCATTTTGCGCATGTCTTACTGATCGACATACACAAAAAAACAAACAAACAACATTAAGATGAATTATAGAGACTATCTGTAATCTTCATCATGTATAACATTTGTCTAAAAACCTATCATTTGAGTGAATATGTGTAAATACTGAATTAGGCGCATGGATTAATCTGAAACACTATCTTCAACAAATGGAGTATATTTACATTTTCCTGAAATTCAGTCTAATTAATGAGTACATACAACTAATTTGATCAAGCGTTTATAAATCTATTTTATGTAATTGGAAAACAATGAATTATTTGCCAGTCAATGATTATTAATTACGATTAGAACTCAATAATGACATTCATTCAATTTGTAATCCATCAATAACAAGCTACTACGATTAATTCTACTACTACTACTACTACTACTACTACTACTACTACTGTAGCTAAGGAGAACACAGGTGAGGGCAACCGAATTGTATTTATCGCAAATTACAGAGTTATTCAGTAAAATAGGAAAACCATATCGTAAACGGTTAATTTGCAAATCTTCAATCCATCATCAATCCATTGTCTGACATTTCACTATTCATGCGTTTCATACAAATTCCATTGTGTTCCTACTCTTCCTTTCTTGATCTTCCCCCATCTTGTGCTGCCAGACATTACGTTTTCACTCGCGTCATATACTACTTATAAGTAGCGCGCACCACACTACTACTACTATAATTGTTCACTTTTTTCAGCAGCATGATGAGTTTTAAGTAAATTTAAAGGTATCTGAGGCCAGTTAGTTATATTTGGTACTGTATCATAATATAAAAGTTTTCAAGCATTAGGATGCTTGCACAATTTTTAATGCCGTATACCTACCCATCAGCATGTTTGAAGTATGAAAAATATGTAAATTTATTTTTCGAGATAAAAGCACCTTGGATGACTTTTTGAAAGTATTAATAGGGGCTTTATAAGAATTAACTAAGTGTCCTACTAAGCTATGTTCAACAGTGAAATTTATTGAGAAAATAATAGAACAATACGAAGGGTAAAAAGTTCCGTTAACTAATCAAATGAGTTAAGCCTGTTGCTGCTCTTATTTTCTCTTTCTGTCACTTTACCAAGTACTAGGCTACTAACTATCAAAATAAAAATATACAAATACCTTAAATATCTCAACTTTTATTCTATATAATCTTCATAATATACTCGCGTTTATATCAAAAATAATTCAAAAAATAATTTAGATAAATGATGAATAATTCAAATTTTATAGGACAGATGATAAAATATTATGAACAAACTAAATTTCTTTCGTTTCAGGGTACTAAACAACGTAACGAACTATAAACTTTCATATTCCTTCAATAATTGACATTTTTGAATCTTTTTTCCATAATTTTTCCCAATCCGATACATTACCTAATTTTACAGTTTTAACAATATTATATGCTCACTAAATGCTATTTGAGAAATTAGGCAACGGCTATCAGTCTAAGTAAATAAACACTGTAATGCAGTTTTATTGGGAATATTAGATCCCCAGAACTCACTTAGGAAAGATCTTAATTTCGGATTCTTTATGTTTTCGCGCATAAGCTGCTTAGTTGACCTCAAGATTACATTTTCCACTCGGAAAATCCTTGACTGTCATTGGTTGATGGATTATTTTAGTACGCTATCTTTATGGCTCTCTCAAGGACGTTTCTGTCATTTATAAATAAGCTCGATTTGTGTGCTTGTCGACCTCGTATTATCTGGGTGCTTGTACAATACACTTTCTCCGCCTTATCGAGACTTCTTGCTTTTGTTAGTCGTGCCGGGGACAAATGGATTACGTTAGCCTATCGTGTCGCTGCATCATTTATCTGCGCTCAGTTTACAGAGTAACGTGAACTCGTAATAGTTTCAAGCATATCATTAAACGAGCATATCAAGTTTGTTTGGATATTAGCTGGTTGAAGAAAACCTATCAAAATCATGAAACCTAGTTTTTCGGTTAGATACCACTTAATAGAAAGCTGTATTAACAATCTGAAAGGAATGGCCCTTTTCGTGAAACCTATGTTGCTCAGTGCCTAAAAAGGGAGATTTTTATGATACCTAACCCACAAACCTACATATTGTATCTTTGCTAATTTTCACCAACCACGTTCAAGTAAATTACGCCCGAATATTTGAAACGAAATTTTATATGAATAATTGTAAAGATAAATTGTTGTTGGTATTGTTTGTGGTAAAATAACCATCTATAGTTACCAAGCAAACACTGATATTCATCTAAGTTCTTAATAAAAAATATGTTTGAACCTAAACACAAATTAAGATATAAGACAGTACGAAAAATGCCTGTATTCCTGCAATTACAATTCATAAGTGATGTAGCTAGTGTAATAGTAACTGGACATCTATGAAACAAGTTTATATCTTACGTTCTTAAGTCAGCCAATAGTGAGTTCATGAAATAAAAGTAAATCACTTAGTTTCTCTACTTCTATGTATATTTACCACTTCAACCACCCCCCTGAGGAGCTAGTTATATTGGGCGTGCAACTAGACAACTGCATTATCGTATTCCAGAATATCACTTTTAATGGTTGACCATAAGACAATAGAAAGTAATAAGAAGCCCTATCTTGTTGCATAAAGTAGATACCGGTCATCATATAAATAAAACTTCATCATTTAAAGTTACTTATAAAATCCCTTCGAATTTACCTTATAATTCTGGAATCCGACTTTTACATACAGCAAAAACCGAATCTTAGTATACAGAAAAAGTTCTCACATTCGTCTAATCTACCCTGAACTTCTACATAGATACTACTACATTATTCAAAAACACTTTCCCTTGGAACTTTTCTGAACTTTTGTCCTATTAACATCTTAATATCATATATCACATGGTTCTGATAATCTTCGACTCCTCATGACGCTTGATTTAAACTTCGTCGATTTTCACAAATTCGATATTTTGATATCTCAACTTACACCATAAAAATCTACAGATGAGACTTTGGAAATAGTGAAATAAACAACACAACCTAATACTTAAAACATTTCTTATTATATCTTTCCTATCACCTGATGTTATCGATCAATTTTTTAAATCTATTGACATTTGTTATATCATATAACAGAAAATATAATATCATGACTATTGCATTCTCTAGACTATATTTTTGATTGAATGTGTTGTTGTTACTTGTTTGGTCTATGGAGATTTGTAGTTTTCCTAGATGAATGGCTTGTGAAATATGTAAAACCGTTTCATGGTTGGTATTTTGAATGCATAGTCAGGTCAGTACTCCCAGGATGTCCGGCTCCAAGACCTACATGTGAATTTTTCACTTACTTTTGTTGCATTATTCCAGTGGAATATTATCGCACTCTAACATGCCGCCAGATTACTGCAGTGCATCGCCTTGGAGGAGAAGTGATTGCTTTCTTTTTCAAACAATTAGATCTGTTTGATGTTGAGGAAATTACTGACGCCATGGGCGTAATACCAGACTGGAAAAGATACATGCTTACTGGTGAATGGCCTTGGAGTGAAGACGAAAAAGAAGGTGATAGTGATGATGCTAACGATGATAATGATGATGATGAAAATGATACCGAAGATGATGATGAATGAATGAATAAAAGTAATGAATCAAACAAATATCTGATAATTTACATACACATTCATGAATCAACTTAAACTTAATTTGTAAGACTATAAATGTAATAAAGTTTCAAAACGAAGTTGGTCATCCTTTAATATATAGGTATAAATATATTTACTATGAGATATTTGTGTAAATAGGTTTGTAAATTACGTTTTAATAATAAATCCGAAATAACAGTCTTTGATTTTAAGATAGCTAGATACGATAAGGGATATTGAGTACATTGTCGATGGATACAAATGCTTCTTTATGCTTGTAGGTGGAAACGATTCCTTATATGTACTTCCGTCACTTATAAGCATGTTGCGATATATATATATATATATATCCAAAGTTGAACAACGGTTTCATCTGTAACACCTTACAGAATGAGACCACTATAAGCCAAGTCAAACCGGAAGTAAGGAATGAGGAAGATCGAAGGTAAATTTGACGGTTAGGAGGTCGAGGAGGCAGTGAACTAAGCTTACTAACTGATGATGCAAGGAGATACGCTCCTCGGCCCACCCTACAGTCATCTGGTGCGGATGCGTGACCTAGCGCCTACAGCTAGAGTGTGTTCAATAAAAACTAATGAGGTCAGCATCGATCACGAAGTGTTGCAGAACTATTTATTCTAGGAATTTATTTACTACTACAAATGCATCGACAGGAGTTGACATTATACGTTTAGTCAACTGTACCTGATAATTCACTACTCGATGTGAGAACGGGAACTGCTGACATAAACGTCTTGATATCGGTCCTTAAACTTTGTCGGAAATTCCTCTTGGATGACCGCCTACAGATGGAAGGGACAAAGTACTTTTGAAATCATCGTCCAGCACACGTTAAACCAGTATTAAATAATCTGGCAACACGCGTTAGGATAAGGAAAATAGGTTGAAGCATCGTGGTTGATTTTCACAACAAAGTCAGTAAGTCGTTTCACTATTTTGTCCTTCCACAGTCGTAGTAGTTCTTGCACATGCACTTCAGGCTTGAATCGAAGACTTTCTGCTTGAAAACAATTTTGCAAGTGTGGCAGGAAAAGCGTTGGCTATAATATCTCAATCCATCCTTCATCCAATAGATGAACCCGAGTACGAACAGTCCATTACACTTTGAAGCGTTTTGTCGCGACAACTCTTCAGTTACTTGTGGTTCTACTATCGCTGCTTGTTATGATTCGTAGATCGTCAAGATTTGTTACTATAGATAGCACTATGTCACCTACCGTGTGCCAGTTATTTATTTCCATTGCTACAATGTTGCTAGGATTAACTTCCTATGACCGTTCATAGCTCCGTCCAGGCAGTCAACGTTCGTTACCCTCTAATATAATCCTATCTGAAATTCAGAGTATAGGTTTCGGAATTTAAATGCAAAGTAATTTCTAAATCATCGTCCAGCACACGTTAAACCAGTATTAAATAATCTGGCAACACGCGTTAGGATAAGGAAAATAGGTTGAAGCATCGTGGTTGATTTTAACAACAAAGTTATTTATTCTGGCCTTCGACAGTTGCACTGAGGTAGTGATGACCCTAAGACGTGACCAGCCAGAAGTTATTACCCAGAATGCCTGACGCTGGTAAACACTCTTCTAACTTGCTTCATCCAGAAGAGACTGGTCCTCCTTTCCTACTCTAAAGAGCCATGTGTTACATAATAATATTATTTAAAAAGATGTAGAATGGCAGAGTTAGTTTTTCGTATCCATCTTTGTCTTTGGTCAGACTCCATGACGTTCATTGGCAGGCCTATCAGATGACTTAGGATCCAGTGATGTTTGACTGGTCCTAAAATATATGCCTTTCGCTCCACAGGGAGTTTTTCTGATATTATCTGTCTTAATGTCGTAGTGAGTTCACCTAAATATGTAATACCAACCCTTTCTAGTAGAATTAAAAAAGGTCTTCTTAGAAGTGATACAAATGGTATGGATGATATAAATATCTACACATACCCTATATTGTTAAATCACTTTGATGATATTATTATTAACAGGCTCAGTAAGAATCTTTAGGCTGATATAACTTATCGAATATATCTGTAAATATAACGGGTTTCGACGTATAAAACGTCGTTATCGTAATGCACTCATGTGTATCACTTTGATCATTTCCGTCTGTTTACAAACTGTAAATAATTTCAGAATGTTTGTAATTACTAATGAGTAGTCTGTCTTTTCCGTGTGATCCCTAAGGTAGTCCATAATGGTATTTAATTTTAAAAACTATAATATTATTACCAGGTTGCTAAAACGAAATATTCGAAAGACCATGACTCCCAAAAATGCAAGCATATGACTCAGTAGACCTTATTTGTAAAAACTATATTTGGAATAACCCGAGCGATGGAAATTTAAATAATTCCAAAGTTTCTTCAAAAGAACTTGTCTGGACTTCTGGGTAATATTCAAAATCAAAATTATAAAAGAATATAGGTTTGACAGCAAAATAAAACCTAGACTAAATTCTTATCCAATAATAGTCACATGTTTACTTCTCAAAGAGATGTGAATCATATGAAAAGTTCAAAAAATGTTAACATTATTTAGATATCAATCGTTGAGATTGTTTCACCCAAAATTTTCTGAAATGATGCCTTTTATATTCTGGGCACCCGTTTTATGTCAGTGCACTGTTTCAAATACTGACTGATATTTTTTACAAAATTTGACTCAGTAGGTTTATCAGTATGTATATTCGCAGGTGTAGTGAACTCGTCAGCCCGAAGATGTATTCAGATCCAAACTAATATTAATGTCATATTAGTGTAAACTTCAGCTACGATGAAAACGTTGAAGATACATAGAAACTAGCATTAATTAAAGTGTTTTAGATCTCTTCATCTACAATTGAGGTGTGACTTTCACGTGACAGTGAGGACACGACCACTTCCAGATTCTTACTTCAACTTCTCTTCAATTATTCGGAATTTATCGTAGCACAAGTGGCTCAGTCACTCATCAACTCCTAGATGGCCATCACGTACGCTGTGCTACGCATCCCTCTTGACAACCAATTAGTTAGATTCATGCACTTTTCAGTGCATCGACTATCTTATAAATATACCATTTATCATCATTTTATACTTCTGCTTTGTCAGTCCATGACATCTTTACAAACAACTTTCAATGATATACTATATTATCAGATCGCATCATTTCATCATTCAGTGGACAAAGATTGTGGAAAATATAAATGCAGATGTTTAAAGCTTGTGACAATAAACACATTTGTTAGTGACTTTTCCCCAGTTCCGAACTGCGTAATCTCAGTATTCAAATTAGCCGACCCATGTGGTAGGAAGCAAATTTGGTGATTTATGCAAATTTTGTAGAAAACACCTTTATTATTCAAAGACAATGTTCATGAAATTATATTTGTACTTACTAAGTACTATTTTTGTTCATAAATTGTGAATAATAATTGCTCGTTATGAAATTGAATATTTCCGTCTCACTCCCGTATATTAAATATACTACAACCTACATTGTTTTCTGTTCACGTTTGCCGACCATTTCAATTGACTATAGCGTATAACATTAGTGTATGAAATTAAGTTTATTCTCCACTCCGCATCTTACAAATTATCATTCCATCAACAATGTGGGATCTTTACATAATTCAGAAGATTTGCTACTCAGATGGATGATATTGGCGGAGTTCGTTCGCTAAGTTGGATCGTTTATTGCCGAAGTCTCCACCGTTCATTTGAACAATTCAAACAGCATACACTTCTGGTAGACGTTGTTGGCCATGTCCATGTTTGACTTACTGGTTACACGTCGATGAACCAGTACTTGTATATTGAAAGTCACTGAGACAAAGCATAGTGAATGTAAATCAACCCACATACACTACAGAAATGACTCATACGACATTCATTCACCTCGTGTACATATCACCATTCCATTCTCTTCGTATAAAAATAAGTCATTTAAATGAAAAGACTCAATATTTCCTAACTCTGCTTGAAGTTCCTATGAGGGTACACTAAGCCCCAGGCCCTGATAAAGAAGGATGGTTGAACATGAGGTTAGCGGCCCCACTTCGCAGAAAAGTGATCAGCGAAGCATATTGGAGGCAGGTTGGACAACTCAGACTAGCTTCAAAGGAGCTGTAATTATACTCTGGCCATGATTAAGAAAACGCCTCACACACAAGGAGTCGCACTGATGCTGGCCGGAAAAGTACGAAATGCACTTTTAGGATTAGAATCTCTTGGATCTGGAATCATCAAAGCATCCTTCAAAATAAAGAAGGACTGGACTGCAATAAAGGTTATCCAGTGCTACGCACCTACCAACGATTATAATGAAGACACTAAGGATCAATTCTATGGTAGGTTGCGGTCAATCGTCGAGAAATGCCCAACAAAGGAATTGGTTATTCTGACAGGAGACCTAAACGCAGTATTTGGAATAGACAACACTGGATATCAAGACATCATGGGATGAAAGAGACTGGGATAAAGCAACGAAAAAGGAGAGAGATTCGCAAACCTCTAAGTACCTTTTACAAACTGGTTATAGACAGCACCATTTTTCTACATAAACGCATGCTCAAAGCCACATGATTTTCACTGGATCATATTAAACAGGACTAAATGGGCCATATCTGCAACAACAAAATGTTCAGAAGGACCATCAAGGAGGGAAGAACGAAGAAATGAGTTGATGTGGGCGCAGATCATTACTTGCTGGACACCGAAATCAAATTGAAAATCAGGAAGCACTGGAAAACGGGCCGGACATCACAAAATTTCAACATGCCTTAACTTCGAGATACTGGAAAACTCAATGAATTCAAGATAACCCTCAGCAATAGCTTACAGGCCTTTAACTCAATGGAAAAAACCTACCATGGAGAGCAAGTTTAAAGTGGTCAAAGGAACAACCACGCAAAAAATGTTACAGTAAATCCATTTGTATGAACAGAAAGAAATTATTTTAATAGAAGAAATTATTATTAGGAACAATTGCACCAGTGATTGTTTTACTGTACGCGCTAACTTTCTGTTTGTGTTGCTGCCATTTTGGCCCCACTGTCTCTGTAATTTCGCCCCTTTTTTCTGGTACGATTTCGGTACTCTTTCGA